GTATCAGCCAGGGCCTGGCCACTCCTGCACATGCGGGTCCCTGATGGGGGCTCTGGGGGCTGGCCGGAGCTCACTCACTTGGAGGGTCAGATGGGGCCGCCACAGGGCAGAACAAGCAGGGGTAAGGTTGTCCTGATACAGGTGACTTCTGAAGGTCCCAGACCCTGGAAGCTTAGTGCTGGGTGGCTGGGCCACACGTCCCTTCCTACAGCAATCTGTAAGTGAATGGTTGGATCAGTCACCTCTGACAATAAATATTTTTAACACTCATTATCCTGTAATAAAATTCTTGGATAACAACTATAAATAGACAATGGTGGATGGGTGGATGGATGGATAGATGAAAAGATGATAGATAGATAGATAGATAGATAGATAGAAGGATGGATTAATAAGTAGCATATGTAATGGTTTCAGTGATATAAAAAATAATTTACAATAACTTCTATTTTGATAGTGAAAATCTAGGCACAGCTACCCTAGACCACAAATCAAGTCCTCGGGTATGTGCATTAGGTAAGATTTCTGAGGATGCCTCCTGAATGGGTGTTGCTTTGGTTACTCCAAGGCCCTGGGTGGAATTCACTATGCTGAACTTTTCCAGAACTGTGAAAGTTTGCCAAAGCTCAGAGCAAAACAGAGCCTAGATCCTCCCCTGATGGACACCATAGCTGCGTTTCTGGTAAATACTGTGTGTACTGCAGCCACATGAGAAATACAGTGTAGACAGGTCTCAGAGGTGGGCGCAGAGCAGACGCTCACACACAGAGCTTTCAACCGAGGGGGGCAGCTAAGGGGACAGAGTTAGGTAGGGTGTGGTTTGTGCAGGGCTCCTTCTGCCTTGGAGAACCTCAAGCACCCTATCCCTATCCACAGGAGGCCAGTAGTCCCCAGGGTCATTGCTTCAACCAAAAAAGAGCCCCCACAAATTCCCAGCATGCCCCCAAGAGACCCACCCCCTAAGAGAGCCGACACTGGAGGTGAAACTAGCCCCAGATGGAGAGAGGCTGGGCCCAGCCACTACTGACACCCCATAATAGCTCCAAAGACAGTAGCATGGAAGACCCTGACTGCTGTGGGGGGCATCCCGGGGCTCAGAGCGTGGCGGAAGAAAGCTGCTCAGCTCACGACAGGAAGCAGAGAGAGAGGAGGAGGAGCAGGGGACAAGACACATGATCCCCAGGGCATACCCCCAGCTCATATCCGAACCACGACATTGCACATTGGATGATGGGGTCTGGAAGCCTCCTCCTTCCCGCCTCCGCCCCAAGTCCTGATGCTGGTACTTGACAACGCTTTCTGCTGTCTCCAGGTGTCAGGCGGACGGTGGGCAGGATGGACCAAGCCCCACCCGTTATGTCCCGCTTTCCCATTACCTAGTATTAAATAAAACTTATAGAAGGCCAGTGTTCGGGGACTGAGCTCCAGCACAAGGCCCCTGGCAGAATAGACCAGACTAGAATGGAGTTAACCTGTGCCAGGTACCCCATGCTCAAGCTAAAGTCGGAAATGGGCCAGATTAAAACACCAGTGACAGCACTGAAGCCGTCAGTCCCTGTTTCCCCAACCCAGCATGATAAGGAAGTCCCTTCTACTTTGACCCTGTAAGGAAAGTAACTTTTATAATGCCCCATACAGTTTTGGTTCCTTTTTTTTTTCCTGCTTTCTTTGCCTTCTTTGGTCTATAAAAATCCACTTCCTCCGCTTGGCCTGGTAGGACACCCCCGTTGTGCAGGTTGAAGCGTTGCCCAGTTCTAGAATTGCAAACGAACAGCCAGTTAAGATCTTTGGATTCGTTCTAGTTTGTCTTCTGACAGTAGTCACCACGAGGCTTGGGTGAATTTCCTCACCTCTGCAAGACACATGTGAGAAGTGGAGGGGGAAGATGCCCCACTCAGAGGGTGGCTTTCAGAGAACGGAGCGGAATGGGAGCCACCGTCTATGTCACAGGCAACAGCACAGGCTGGCCAGAGCCAGGTGAGGAGCCCAGACATATCAGTGGCAGCCAGAGAGCCGGATCAGATAGAGCCACACTGTTCCCAGCCTCCTCACAACCACCTGGGCTCCAACTTCCAAAGCCTATCTGCGCTCCTCAGCCTAAGTCCATTTTCTGTTTCTGTAACTTGAGACCAGGTCCTTTATAAGGAACAGAGGCTTATTTGGCTCCCAGTTCTAAAGGCTGGGAAGTCCAAAAGCATGGCGTTGGCATCTGGTGAGGGCCTCCCTGTGCTGCATCATAACATGGTGACGGCAGCCCCTGGTGAGACAGAGCAAGGTGCCAGCTCAGGTCTGTCTCCTCTTAGAAAGCCACTGTCACCATAAAGGGGGCCCTACCCTCCTGATCTCATCTAACCCTGGTCATCTCCCAAAGGCCCCACCTCCAAATCCCATCAACACAGGAATGGAGGGATTAAAATTTCCAACCCCTAAATTTGGGGGGACACTTACAAACCCAATCAGCCTTCCTTGGGTGGAAAGAAGAGAAATCAACTTTGTGGAGTTTGGGGGGTCATCTAAATATTGAATCATGTCGTCAGCAAGTAGGGGGAGAAATCAACTTTGTGATGTAGCCTCCTCCCCGCCCCCAGCTCCTGGGCCTCTCTCCCACGGAGTCAGGTGGACCTTATCATCCATCTGTCCATGAGAGTCAGACCCCAAGGACGCAGGGCCCCTTCCCCAGGGAATGGCTTACCAGCTCCTTTACACCCTTCTTCTCATTTTTCTGTTCACGTTGCTCAGCGTTGAGCATCTGCATTCTAGAGACCCTGGGACATCAGAAATGGTTGAGGTAAGCAGGAGGTCTTCCTGCCCCATCGGGAGCAAACCAATCCAACCGATCACCCTTTGCTTCTCTTTTGGCTTATGACACAACCCTTCCTCTGTGTACACATCCCACGTGTAGAGACAGTCATCATTTATTTAAGATCACAAGGCAGAGCTCTGAGACAATGTTCTTGTTCTTGTGGTTCTTGTTGCTTTGGACCAATAAAGTACCTTCCCCGCCCCCCCCTCATTGCTGGGGATCAAACCCCGGGGCCTCCTGCATGCCACTCTACCTCTGAGCCACACCCCAGCCCTAAAGTTAGTGTCTTTGAGAGCTGGGATTTATACACCGGCTCTTCTGGCATGTATAGCCTTATTCAGATTACTTCCTTACTAAGATCAGCATACAGACAGAAACAGCATGCTCCAGGAGGATGCACCTGGGTCCCTCCCAAACATTAAAGCAGGCTGATGAGCGAGAGGGAGCCCCTCCCTGTGACTTGCTCATGAGCTTAATATTTAAAACAGGAATAACTGTCTTTCCAGGAGTCTGTAAATGCACACTGAATTTTTTTTTAAAGGGTAAAGAAGAACTGATTATAGAAATTTCTCTGGGAAATAAAAGCATTTGTAATTTGGGGAGATGTGGCTAAACTGTCCCACACAGAGATTCTCGCTATCTCTCCAACAGTATCCAAAAGTGTCTGTTTCTTCAGAGCTTTGCCGACAGAGGACAAGATAAAACTTTTCGATGTGGCTGATGTGAGAAGTGAAATGGTATGACTCAATTTTAATTGCATTCATCTGTTCATGAGGACAGTGTAGTGGCTTTTCGTGAATATTTTCACATTTGTATTTCTTTCCTGTAGAATGTCTTTTCATGTCTGTAGCTCTTATTTCTATTGGGTTACTGTGTGTGTGTGTATGCACAGATTTAGAAAATATCTGTACTTCTGACAAGTTTAGAAACTAATATTATTGAGGGCAAAGAAAGACACTGTATGGGGGATAAACGTGTAAATGTTCTAAGGGCTAAAGCCTCCTTTTCAGTAAATAGGAGGTTTTTTAAAAAGCCAGGGCAGGTGGAGAAAAGAATTACCAGACCCTGGGGATATTTTTGGTCTGGTAGCGAAGCACTGGGCCAGACCTTGCTAGCTGTTAGGCAAACCCAGTGTCTACTGACAACGACCCTCGGTGGTGAGCATATTCCTCGGTGGTGAGCATATTCCTCGGTGGTGAGCATATTCCTTGGTGGTGAGCATATTCGTGTTCCCGGGCCTCTGCCATATTGGTTCTCTCAGCCTCTGACCAAGTCCAAGAACAGTGCAGATACACCCTCCCCAGGAGGAAGGGGGCAGGATGGTGAAGGTGAGGTGCCAGGTGACTGCTGTGACCCTCCTGCTGCGAGACCCCCGCGGGCACACCCCAGTGCTGGTGCAGCCTTCCAAGCGCACCCAAACGGGGGCAGGGCCTTCCCAGGTGTGAGCAGTGCTGTCCTGCTGAGTGCCTCCGGCTCCTGTCCTCTGGGCCAAGAGTGACCCAACAGGTTCTCCAGGTGTCAGGGGCCGAGCCCTGCAGGGCCAGGAACACTGTGTTCCTGGCTGTGTCCTGGAGGACCGTGCGCACAATTCAGGTTCAGCATGTGGGTGGCCTCTCCTTCACGGGTCCCCAAGCGTGACCGGGTGCATGGCAGAGGAAGCAGCAAGTCACCCTCTATTAGGGCTACACTAGGCAGATTTTTTTTCAAGTCCAAGTGAGGAAAAGCTCAGAAGAAGGCCACAAGCCCCCTCTGTGCTCTTCTCTGGGGTAGGCATCTCGGACCTGGTCCCCACCTCAGGAGGAGTCTGGGCAGATCAGGCATCCCTAGCAGAGACCCCGATTTCTGCCTTTTAGAGAGAGGCTCGCCTTTCCTGGTTCTTTGCTTAGCTAAGGTGAACCTGGGAGACTGTGTTTAATGTAGAGTCCCAGACCCCAACCCAACCAATATGTCCACGAAGGGAGGGGGGGTCCCAGGAATTTGTATTCATAGAAGGTACCCCGTAATGCTAAGGCTACGATCCTCAGACCAACCTCTAGGAAGTGGGCCACGCACGTCCCCAGGACCCAGGGTGTCCCCTCCTGGGTGTTGATAAAGCCTGAGGAGTCTTGAAAGATTGCATCAGTTGGTTAAATGTCCCCTCAGCCATTACTAAATCCTGTGGAGTCAGAGCAAGATTCAGATGCTGCAGTCTGCGGTTTCCTTTGCTTTATTTTTTGTTTGTCATTTTTTTGCCACCAGCCTGGCTCCTCCTCAGAGCCCCCCACCCCACCCCTTATCACCACTGGTTATGTGGAGAGGGCTGGCCCCATGCGGGTCTCCAAAGCGTCCTGTTGTGGATTTCCAAATCCAGCGGGCCCCGATAAACCACTCGCACTAGTAAAGCTTGGCTTTTGACTGATTCCTGTATTTCAAAATCCGAAACCAACCAAATGTCACTCTCCACCTAGCCGCCGGCTCTGGGGAAAGGCCTCTGGGCTTGGAATCTGCAGCCCCGCCCAGCCCCCAAGCAGGTAGGGGGCAAGAAATGGGTGCAGAACAGAGAGCTGACTCTTCTTTCTTGCTGCTGTCCCTCAGGCTCACGTCAGAGGACTGCAGGAGCCCCAGACCCACACTCCTGCTCCCCTCCCCGCCAGGGGCGGCCTTGTTCTGTTTCTGGCACCAGGGATTGAACTCAGGGGCACTCCACCACTCAGCCAGCCACACCCCCAGCCCTATTCTGATTTTATTCAGAGCCAGGGTCTCACTGAGTTGCGCCTTGCTATTGTTTTTTTAATTTTTAATATTTATTTTTCAGTTTTTGGCGGACACAACATCTTTGTTTGTATGTGGTTCTGAGGATCCAACCCGGGCCGCACGCATGCCAAGTGAGCGCGCTACCGCTTGAGCCACATCCCCAGCCCCGCGCCTTGCTATTGCTGAGACTGGCTTTGAACTCGCGATCCTCCTGCCTCAGCCTCCTGAGTGGCTGGATTACAGGCATGTGCCACCGCACCCGCGGCCCAGATACTGCTCTTAAAAGCCATTTCCACCCACTGTTCTTCTTCAGTAAGGAAGAAGACAGGGGCCAACAATGTAGAAACTGGCCTGCTTCATGCTTTTCTGCTGTCAGAGAATCCTATTTCTTCCCAACAGCCTCTGAAGGAGGCAGCAGCATCCCAGTGGGAGGGCAAGGCCCAGAGACATCATGTGCTTTACCCAAAGTCACACAGCTGGTGGTGGAAGGGGAATTCAGATTCTGCGATCCACACAAGGCGTGTCCTTAACCCAAGATGCTTGGAATTCAAGGGAAATGCTCAATTTTTGAAAATCAGCAACACGAAAGGACCATGTGCCACAGGCAAGAGTAGAGCCCTGTGCTTACCCAGGCCCATGCACAGGGAAGTTCAGCTTATGACCAGGCAAGGGACCTCAAAGCTCCATCCTGGGGATTCCCAGGCCCATTTTCTGGGTTTACTGTTGTGGGGGGGAGTTGAGGTTAGTCCCTGGGTCCGTGGTCGTCCAGCTTGTCTTGGACCCTCTCAAAGGGCTGCTCAGGGATCCCAAGCAGGTCTAGTTCCTCTGCCCGACTCCTCTGCTCCCAGCACCCTGGGGAGCAACTCTGAGGCAGGCAGATCTGTGGGTAAGGAATACTCACACTTGGACACATGTTGAGTCTTAAGGCCAAGCGGGACCCCCACGGGCATCACTCGCCTCTGCGCAGAGCTGATAGTGTTTGCTCAGCTGCTGCACAGGGTCAGGTCCCCAGGGTCCCGAGGCCACTGCTTGGGGCAGCTAAAGAACTCCTGGATTCTCTTCTAGAAGCTACAGGGAGCTCGCGTGAGCAGCAGGAAGGCACAGGAGAGGGGCCTGAGTCTGTCTGGCCCTGCAAGGTGCCCGGTGAGACTTGGTCACACAGTCCCCAGATCTTCACGAGTAGCCCGTGGGACACATTGCTCAATGCCATGTGGGAACAGCTGAAGCATCCCTTTCATCACAGCCTCAGACAGAGGCCAGAGCAGCCACAGGGAGACAGGGAGGCAGCAGCCACTGGTGAATGAGACGAGAACTTGCGGCTGAACCTGCAGAACGGGGCAGAGGACACCTCTGATCTCTGCACGCTGAGGCGCCCGTGCACCCCTGGCAAAGGGGGAGACTCAGGCCAACAGCAGCAAGGACACCATTGTCCCCGGTGCATTGGAGGCCAGACAGCACTCTGAGGATGGCTTACACCCCGAGGGCTGCTTCCAGATGGCCTTCCCGCCCAGTGTCAGCTGCCTCTGTTTTCCTGGGGGCCTTCGGCTACGGGGACAGATGACAAGATGGTGTTGTGCAATTTGTGTGGTGCTCCTGGCCTCCCTCTCTGGGGGTTGCAGCCTGTTGCCCCAGACCTCTCTCCCGTGGCCAAGACAGCATGTGCTGATTTATCCATAAACACAGCACAGGGCCCAGGAGCCCCAGGAGGTGACGATGGCACTCCGGGCAGAATTTCACAAGTGTCCCTTTTTGTTTTCAATTAGCAGAGGAGGTGGCTGGCTGCTTGCAGGAGGGACTGTTTTCCCTCTTCCCCAGGTTGTTTGTGAGCTCCCTGTCCTGGAGAGAAGCGACTCCACACACACAGATCCATCTAGGTCACTCCAGGGCCCCAGCGGAGCTCACACTTGGCAGGAGCCCAGCAGCACTCAAAAGTTGTCCTGGAACCAAGCGGGATGGGTGTCCCTCCTGCTGAACAGCAAGAGGGCCCCGCATCTGCAGGCTGTTCAGAGGTGCCAATACGCCTCTGAGAGCCCTTTGCTGGTGACAAACATCAGGCTTAGCACAACATAAGGATCAAGATGGGGAGAGGCCCCTCGTGTTCTGCCCAGAGAGTGAGACGGAGCCTGCAGCAGCCTGTCATTCCGCAGGGCTCACGTACAGAGGAGGAGAGGTTGGGAGAAGAAAGCTTGGCTTCTCTCAAAGCCAGGCACAGTCTCCGCAGTGGTGGCTCACCTTTGTACGCTTGCACTTGCTTGTCACCTGGGTTGTGTCCCCTGGTCCCCTGAGGGCCTCTATCCGTGGAATGAATACCATGTGCTAAGCTCTCTGGCATGCACGGAGGAGAGAGCATATGGTGGCTGCACCATGGTAGCAGCTGCCTGCAGATGACAAAACACACGTGAGATCTTTTCTCTGCAGCCATGAAGGACAGAAAGGCGCCATGAGGCAGTGCCCAGCCCCCTGCAGCTCCCAGGCTCCTGGCCCCTCTTGGCATAAGAACAGACCAGGGCCCTTCCACTGAAGGAGGACATTCTTACCTCTAAGAGGTTTTTCTTAGTGCAAATTCAAACTACGTACTTTAACCCCAAATATCATCGTCCACTTCTGCAGGAGGCTTTTAAAACTGTAATAGGGAGAGAAGCTGGGTCCTGCTTCTTCTTATTGTTTCTGGGACGAATTCCTCATAGGTGATCTTGCGGTCTTTGTCAAGAGGGGTGTGAATAAAAGGGCCAGATCTCTGATCAACCACAAAACTGTATCTCAGGAGGAAAAGGTTTTTGCAAATATATGCTACGCCCTCATTGATAGCCCACATTTGGGGAGTGATTCTATTAAAAGTAATCAATGGAATTTTCCAGAAGTCCAGCAAGTCCATAGACAAGCTGGGAGTTCGGGGGCCTCGGAGGGGGTCTCAGTACCTGCAACTAACCATGAGAAAGAATATAAAATATTTTGAGAGAGATCACATGCATTTAAATTTTATTACGGTATGCTGTTGTAATTGTTCTGTTTCATAATTAGCAATTATCATACTGCGCCTAACTTTTTAAACCGTATCATAGGTTATTCACCTAGAGGAAAAAAAACAAATATAGGATTCAGTTCAATCTGCCTCTGTCCCCACTCCAAAGGTGCTTTTCCGGCAGCTTGGCTTCTCTTCCTTAAACACGGTACTTTTCTTAATTTGCCCGGCAGGCCTTGGGGCTTACCTGCTCCCTGCACTCTAGAGAGCAAATGGATGGACTGCTTAGAGATAACATGGAACCATCTCAGAGACTCGGCACAGACTGTCCGAACCCTGGTCAGCCCCCTGTCCTGGGTGTCCGGCTGCAGAGTGGGTCCTTGTGAACATCCGGGGCCAAGATGGCAGAAGAAATGGAAGACCAGAGAGGAGCCTGCAGACGGCGGGGCAGGAGGAGCCGCAGGGTAGAAACTCCCTTCCCCCCTTGTTTGCTCTTGGTGCCCACACCCGGGTTCCCCGTATTCCAAGATGCTCCCCAGCCTGTCTCCACCTGCACCTTAACACCTGGTGGGCCTCGGGAGGGAGCTGTGCCTCTTCCCAGGTCCAGTGAGGAGGGCTCTGGCTCAGCCTGGATTCTTCCTGGCCAACCTGGGGCCCTGTCTCAGTCTCCTCCATGAGGAGTCATCTGTGACGCCAGTCACTCAGCCATGCTCACAGGCTGCTGTGAGAATCCAATCAGGAACCTCGAGGTGACCCTGAGAACCGGCACGGCCACATCAGGGACCCCTAGAGTCTAGCTCAGGGCTCCACCACCTGCACCCAACAAATGGGATGCAGAATGCTATTCTGCTCCAAGACTTGGAGTCTCAAGTCCTGCCAAACCACGCCACCTGAAACAGAGGGGGCGGGCATTTTTTAACCACCAACTGTGCCCTAAAACTTCCTCCCCTGAGAACCTCCTTCTACACGCAGGGATCACGAGCTCCAGGAGGGGAGGAGGGCAGGTCACACAGGGAGTGTCTGATGGCCACTGCCCGTAGGCCACCCCAAGGGCTGCACCTGCCTGGGTGGGCGGAAAGCACCTTCACACACAGCACCCAGAGACCAGCAGGCGGAGTGCCTCACGCTACCTGCAAAGGAGAGGAAGGAATCTTCCCGGCTTGGTACTTGGAGGATGAACAGTCACTTCTACAGAGTGGTTGACTCTGACTACAGAGGGGCACGTCTTAGGCACTTGCAAACAAGGCAAATCTTACCTGTTATTTTTTTTTTAATCATCATTTGTTGTTTTACTTTTAACAGATGACACAATTTTTGCTGTGTTGTTTTATTATAAAAATAGGACCCATTAAGTCATTTTTTAACTTACTCTACAGGTCAGGTCCCTGTTGGGAAATAGGTGTCATGTGCAAGCAGTTGACAGAAGACTCAGGAAAGAATGTGTCCTCCATATGAGCTGGATGAAGAACCCGGGGAGGGGGGATCACCGGGAATGTCCCAAGAAGCTGAGGGGTACAGGGAGAGGGGGCTGGCCTCAAGGGCCACAGAGGTCACATAGAGGACAGGGCCAACTTAGAGGCTCCCTACAAATGCCTGACCCCCACAATCACGAACTGCAGTTCAGTAATCATGGCTCTAAACCTCTAAATGTGGGACAGTGTACATGCAGCGATTCTTGGGGACCGGAGCTCTTGTCTCACTTTCAGTCACCTCTGTGGGCCCATTTCCCATCTACCAGCTACAACAAGGAGGTGGCCGGGATGTCATGTTGGTGTGGCTCCTGGCGTGACATCCAGGAAAAGCTAACCTTGTTAGAGCAGAGCTGCCTGGTTTCAGTAACATGTCACCAGCATACGCACACTCACACGCACCCGAACACACCCAGGACACGTGCTCAGGCTCATTTGCTTGGGCCAAGAGATGAACGGAACTGATTTTAGTTGGTTTTCAGCCAACACTTGCCTTGGCTGTTATAGGTACCAGGTGCCATTTCTAGTTTGCCTGGGGCAGAGAACAGCTTCCCACTCAAGGAGATTGCTATAATTTGGATCATAAATGTCACACAAGGGCTCACATGCTAAAGGCTTAGTCCTCGGGGTGGTGTTATTTAAGAGGTGGTACCTTTAAGAAGTGGGGCCTTTTGGGAGGCCTTTAGAATATTGGGCGTTTGTCCCTGAAAGGATTGTGGGACCCCAGTCTCTTCCTTTTTCTCTTTGCTTTGTAGCTTCATCACATGCTTCTGCCATGATGCGTGGTCTCACGAGACACTCAAAACAACAGTGCCAATTGTTCATGAACTGGAGACTCCAAAACTGTAAGACAAAATAAACCTTTTTTCTTTATAAGTCAATTATCTTAGGTACTTTGTCACCATGAAGAAAGTTGACTGATAGAGAGGGGTTTCATGTTTATTATACAAACCACATGTGGAGGACCTGAATCCTGGCTGGACCCAACATGGTCCCAAGTGAGTGATTCTGGCAACAGAAATGCACTTGTCAGCCCCATTAGGGATTGAGCAGATTCACAGGGATCCAGGACTGATGTGTGTTCCACCTCCTTTGGGCGGGGTCGGGTGGGGGGCCTGACAGAGAGAAAGAAAAGAGCTGACCCACTCCATCTCTGTATTAGCAATCAGGGACAACGGGGTGAGCCCCAGTGATTTCAGCTGAAGAATAAGCAATTGCGATCAGTGTGGGCCCCTCTGCAGTGCTCAGGACTGTGGGGGGGAAACGTGTGTCATCACACCATCTTGCTCCGTGTGCCATAGCATGTGCTCTGTCCTCAACAGGAGCTCAGGACTACACAGCTCAACCGGCTCATTGCAGTCTCTAATACCGACCCAATATGTGATCCCCAAGGGGAAACCCAGAATTTGAAGTCTGCAAACAAAGCCGGTGCTCCCCACCACTCTGCAGAGCCTGAGAAGCCAGCAGGGTTCTTAGGAAGGGTGCACCGACCTTCTGAGTTCTTCCGTGTCCTCTTCCTGCAAAACAGAAAGTGGACCTAGAAACCCCTATCATACCCTCCTACCCTGGTGTTGACTGCCCGTGATTATGACTGTGGACATGGGTCAGCACAAGCAGTCACCTTGTGAGATGTTTCACAACTGACCAGCAGCTCCATGGTCCAGAGGGGTCACTTCAAATGGCAGGCCTTGTCAAGTGTTGAGAAGGATTCCGCGGCTGCCTTCTGACCGAGCCCGGGATGAGCTACGGGGACCTGCCAAGGAGGAAGCCGTGGCAGCTAAGAGGTGGACTTTGCCACCCAGGCTGAGGGACACTGGTGGTGGGGGCTGTTGTCCAGATGGATGGACAGAGATGTTAAGAAGGAGTCCCACCTCTAGAGGCAGGGCCTGCACCACACACTGGCCAGTCTCCACGGCTGGAAAACAGCTGGCCTTTCTCAGTCACTCTGCACTGAAAGGAGGAAGGGCAAGGTGACCCTGCTGTAACCACCCCTGAGCCTCCAGCCAGGTCAGAGTGGTGCCCCGAGCAGCCAGCCACGGGTGACATCACACACAGTCGGGGCTGGAAACCTAACCCTGCTGCTGGGTCTGCAGACGATGCCCTGCTTTCCTTCCAGGGGCCTCGGGACCATGTCTAGTGGCCTGTGCATCCACGGGACGAGGCATGCCAGGACCTCCCGGAGATCCCCTTCCTAAGTCATGCCCACCAGCCCTTGTCCTGCCCGCCGAGGGGTGCTGGACAGCCCCCTGCCTGACAGAGCCTCCCTGGGAGACAACATTTTTGGAGCTGTGCAGGCTTTGGAATTTGAAGAATAAAATGTGTGATTTTAAGAATCAGCTGCAAAGGGGCCAGGCAGGGCTTCCAGCCTGGAGCTTGTTTACCGCAGCCTGGAGCTACTGACGGGGTGGAGAGGGGCAGCCCGGCCGCTCCAGCCCCACTGGAGGAGACCGGCCACTCGTCCTTCCAAATTCCTACCTGTCCAGTACCCGGCTTCATACCTGTCTTTGGCTTTCAGAGAATGTTCCGCAGGGTTGTTCTCATCAAAGCCCTGACATGGGTGAGGTACCCAGTACCAGGGCTGAGGACAGGAGGATCGGGGCTCTGGCCCCAGGAAGCGTGAGGTCTCTGCACAAATCCACAGGGAACCGGGATCGCAGAGCCGCAGGCCAGGTGGATGTGTACAGAGGCTGCCCGACTGTGAGGGGTCAGAGAGCAAAGTCCAGGTGCCCAGGCAGCTAGGAGAGTGGCACTGAACTGGGCTATAGGGAAAAGTGGGCACTAGTCAACAGGGAGGTCGAGGAAGGGTGTTTTAGGCAGAAGAAATAGCCCCGGCAAAGTCACGGGGCTCTGAGGTGTCAGGCTGGAGAAATTCTGTGGTCTGGAGCAGGGACCCAGGGGACAGAAGCTGGAAGGTCCCTTGCAGCAGAGACTTGGCTGGAGGACAATTGCCTGGGGCAGAATGGAGGGGACGTGTCCTGAGGGTCTCCTGTTATTGGGGAGACCTTGGGGGTTGGGGGAGGGAAGGTCTGGAGGCATCATGGGGGGCAAGCAGAGGCATTGGGAGGTGGGGTCACGGGCAGGTGGCAGAAGCATGGAGTGGGGCTCTGGATCCCGGAGAGAGGTTCAGAGCCAGGTTGGAGGGAGGGTAGGGTGTGGGCAGAGGCGAGCTTGGGGCCAGGCTGTGGCCACTGGCAAGGGGTAGACAGAAGAGGAACTGGGAAGGATTCTGGAAGTTCCAGGGCAGCCTCAGGAGTGGGTTCCCTTGATGAAGCCCAGGGAGGAGCCACGGCAGGTGTGGGAGTCATGGTCAAGGGCCAAGCAGAAGCAAGCAAGGTGTGCACTCCACACGCCCCTAGGGTCGACCACATGGAAGTCAGAGGCCCCCCAACAATGAGGAGGTTCATCAAAAGCTCCACGTCCCTCATGATGGACATAAAAATAAGCACAGGTTGGATGTGACATAGAAACGTGTCTTAAAGACAAAAACTGTAGTAGAGAAATGTGGGAGACGCTTAGGACCTCAGCACGGGGGTGGCCAAGCAAAACCATCGGGGGAAGATGGGCACCCAGAAGAGCATCAAGCTGAAAACCAGGGTTGGGTGAAAGAGAGCAGAGCTCCAAAACCATCCATCCAGGGAGATCCTGAACCCTTCCGTGACCCAACCAAGGGGCAATGTCCACAATACATCAAAAGCCTTCACAGACTAATAGAAAAGAAAGACAACCGTAAAAACACCGGCCATGGGGGGCTGGGGTTGGGGCTCCGAGGCAGAGCGCTTGCCCAGCAGGCGTGAGGCACTGGGTTCCATCCTCAGCACCCCATAGAAATAAAATATGGTGTCCGCTTGTAGCTAACAAACAGTGGCAAAGCAAGGGTTTGGTGGCAGTAAAGCGTTCCCAGCTCCCTGGCAGGTGACAGAGAAACCCACCTGTTCTGGCCAGTGAATGGGGACAGAGCATTGCTGACATTAGCCACAGTGGAGATGGGCCAGTCCAAAGCTCATCTGTCCCCTGGGTCCCTCCCTTCTCCACCGCAGTCACCCTGGAGGCCACATTCTGTGGTATAGCTGTTAGATGAAGGGACCCGGATGGGTAAGGAATGGAACTGGACCACGGGAGCACGGTCCCCTTGGGAGTCTGTTTTTTGGGTCACTATTATCATTAACTTGTCTGATTAACACAGGAAGGAACCAGCAACTCCCAGGGGGAAAGGAATAAACTGGCTTTAACAACTGGGGGAAAATGCTCACCCCACTAGTAAGAAAAGGATCAGGCTTACAGCAACGTTGAAAGGCTGTTTTTCATCCATTCACAATATTTGTGAAATACTGGAAAACTTCCAGTATTGGAGAGAACATGAGAAAAGGGTGCTCCACACTTCATGGGGAGATGTATGAACTAGTACAATCTGGTTGAAGAATAACAGGGCCATAACTAGAGAAAATTTAAATATATCTGTTGGAGTTAGCAATTCTACTAAGAATCTATTCTAGAGACATTCCTGCTGATATAAATATTGACGTGTTCATTCCTGCCTATTGATACGTCATTTGGGGGTGGGTACTAGGGATTGAACTCGAGGGTGCTCGACCACTGACTTGCATCCCCAGCCCTATTTTCTTTTTTTTTGTATTTCATTTAGAGACGGGGTCTCACTAAGTTGCTTAGTATTTCACCTTAGGCTGGCTTTGAACTCACGATCTTCCTGCTTTCACCCTGACACTGTTTGTATTAGCAAAACCAATCAAGCCAATCAAATGGCTTAAATGGATCTGGCTGTGCACGCTCTAGTCCCAGCAATTCAGGAGGCTGAGGCAGGAGGATCACAAGCTCAAGGACAGCCTCAGTAACTTAGCAAGGCCCTCAGCAACAGTCTCAAAATAAAAAAATCAAAAGGACTGGGGATGCAGCTCAGTGGTAAAATACTCCTGAATTCAATCCCTAGTACCCAAATAAACAAATAGACAAATGGCTAAAAACAAGGCGTCCTTTAAACTGGTTAAAGCCGACTAATCGTAAGGAACACAAAATCAATGAGGGTGCCTATGATCTATCACGTGAGAAACCAGATACCAGGACGTCTATGCTGGGGGCCAAAATATGGACATAAGAACAGGCTTCTTTGTGGTTGTTGCTTTGTTTTTAATAATTTTTTAGTTGTAGAAGGACACGATACCTTTATTTATTTATTTATTTTGATGTGCTGCTGAGAGTCGAGCCCCGTGCCTCATACTTGTGAGGCAAGGCCTCTGCCACTGAGCCCCACTCCCAGCCCGAGAGCAGGTTTGGAAACACACTGTCTGAGCGTGAGATTGCTGATACGATTTACAGGAACCCACCCACGCCCACAGGTGTGTGCACACAATTTTACAGATATCTGAACATGTCTTTCAGGGACACCAAAGCGGCAGGGAGAAGGTACAAAGAAAAATGCCACTGGAGGACAAGACAGGGAGATGAGTCATCGTGTCCCTTTTGGAGAGAAGTCCTGTTACCATGACAGCTCCCACCACTGAGGTCTTACCACCCATGATAATTCCCGCCACAGGTTCAGTATTTGAAAATACTCAAGAGGGCTGGGGATGTGGCTCAAGCGGTAGTGCCCTCGCCTGGCATGCGTGCGGCCCGGGTTCCACATACCAACAAAGATGTTGTGTCCGCCGAAAACTAAAAAAAATCAATATTAAAAAAAGAAAGAAAGAAAATAACGAAGGCGGGTAAAGTGGCAGTATTCTAATCAGGTATCATTAGGTAGGTAACCAATGGGAGCCAATGGGGTGTGGTCTTCAATCAGGTAGGGACCAGGACACCCCACAGGCCAGCCTAGAGACATGGATTTCCAGACATTTGGATCTTAAGCCCCGCCCCTCTTCCAGGTTCGCCCCTGACGGACAGTTTGGCGAGGTAAGCTTTCCAGGCTGCACTGTCATCCAGCCCGTGCTCCTGAGGTCACGCTGGCCCCACCACCCCCTGTCCCCTTTCAGTCCATTTTCTCTATGTGCATTGATGTGGGTTTTGGGGTGACACAACAGCCAGGCACTCGGTGGCTCTTCCCAGGTTGGTAAATGTCTGCACTCATTCCTCTCCTTGCCTCTTTGACGTATCCTTCCATCTCCTCTCCACTGTCTCTTTGTCTGTCATATTTACTGGAAGGCTTGCTCGATCCCCATTTTCCAAAAGGCAGTGGAGTTTCTTTTTCTCCTTTGCTAGAGTTTTGGTTTCTAAGAGTCCTTTCCCGCCCTCCAGATGTCCTCATTTTAACCCGCTCTTGTCTCACGGCTCCGTCTTGGTTTCTGTCACGTCCTGAGCTGTCTCCTTGTCCCCTTCCCCTGGGTGCGTTGCTGGCTGCTGTTCCTGCTGCTGGCCTTCCTCCATGCGCAGACACAGGGACAGTCCTCCATCGCCCAGTCCCTGTGCTGTTGGAAGCGCCATGCGGGTGAGTGGGGCTTGTCACACCGGGCCATCTCACAGATGGCAGTCCCCTAGGTCTTCCATGGTGACAGCGCTGTCTGGGGTGATGGCCTCCTGGGAGGGTGACTGTTGTAAGTAGATTGTTACCGATTTCGCCTGCTCTCAGTCTGGGTTCCCGTCCTCGTGTTGACCGGGGTGTCCTGGGGCAGCGTCCCCCGGCCAGTCCCCCAGCCTTCCACCTCCTGGGTCTCTCAGTGCCCGAGCTCCTGAGCTCCTGTCTCCACAGGCTTCTGTGTCGTGGTGGCTTCTGTGTCATGGTGGCTTCAGCCGTAAAGACCCGGCTCTGACCTGCTCTCAAGTCCCCCATTGGAACCCGGGGTCTGCGGCCATAGAGACCAAGGTGGCAAAGTGAGGCTCAGACAGGCCACGCAGGGCCTCCTGGAGCAGGCGTGCTGCCCCACACACCCTCCCTGGCACCCCACCGGGGCTTGGGGGACGGCCGTCCCTGGTGGGGCCGCGTGGGGGCTTGGGGTAACAGTGCCCACTGAGCCCACCTCCGGCTTCCCAGGCCAGGCCCACCGCAGGCCGGGCAGTGGGTCAGCCCCACTGGGCTGCGGGAAGGCACCAGGAGCAGGGCTGCCATGGCTGGGCCACCTCTCATCGGGTCAGTCTGCTATGACCAATAGGAACCAGGACCAAGAACTGCCTTTCTGTGGCACCATGAATCACACCAGCCTCACACCACAGCTCACACCACACAGCTCACACCACACACCACACAGTTCACACCACGCAGTTCACACCACACACCACACAGTTCACATCACACAGCTCACACCACACAGCTCACACCACGCAGTTCACACCACACAGTTCACACCACGCAGTTCACACCACACAGCTCACACCACGCAGTTCACACCACACAGCTCACACCACACAGCTCACAGCACACAGTTCACACCACACACCACACAGCTCACACCACACACCACACAGTTCACATCACACAGCTCACACCACACAGTTCACACCACACACCACACAGCTCACACCACAAAGTTCACACCACACACCACACAGCTCACACCACACAGTTCACACCACACACCACACAGCTCACACCACATACCACACAGCTCACACCACACAGTTCACACCACACACCACACAGCTCACACCACACAGCTCACACCACACAGCTCACAGCACACAGTTCACACCACACACCACACAGCTCACACCACACACCACACAGT